TCGAAACCTTTTTTTTGAATTTCTTCTGCATTGTCTTCTTTGTTGACGTCAGTGACCTCTTGACACTGGTCTCTTTCTCGCGCAAGTTGGTTTTGTTTGTGCCTGATTTTGTGATGATGGAGGTGTGATGATTCATGAAGATGGGTGTAGGAATTAGGGCTGTGACCCGACCCAGAGCCCGCCCGGCCGACCTTGCCCGACGCTATCATCAAGCTAGACAGTACGTGCCCCGAGACACTGAAACCTAACTTGATGATAGAGGCAAAAGCCCTGCAGGCACCTCGGCCGCCCGGACTGCCCGGTATCCCGACCCTTTTCCCACTGCATATCGACTTCCAGAGTTGACAGGAAGTCACCTGACACTGAGTTCAGCTTGATACCCCCCTTTTTTTAAAGCTTCAAGCCTTCCGATCACCACCTTACCCCACCTTTCCTCCTATCTCACATCGAACTGTACTTTGCTTAAATTGTAAGTGTCATTTTTATATCAGTTTCTTATTATTATTGATTTTAAAGTTCCTACCCTCCAACATCGGCTTCTTCTTACCTTTCGATTCTATTTATATGTAGTTAATCAATTGCAAGATGCCCAATACCCCAACCACTCGCTTATCGACTCAAGTCCTCCGTTCATCAGCAGCATCTGCTGTTTCCAATTCGATGTCCAGCACTCCTGCAAGTAGTATTGCCCCGTCTGACTCAATCTCCAAAGTCGGTACGGAAACCACCACGACTGGACAATCTTCTTGGGTTTGGCAATATTTCACCCAAGAAGAAACCAAAGGCATGATCACAAATGTCTGTGGAGCCAAAGCCGGTTTTGTCAACAGCTGTCTTTCTACTCAAGATGATCCGGACTCGCCCATCGTGCTTTGCAACAAAAAGCTTGCAGTGGACAAGCACGCCAGTACTAAGTCCATGATCCGCCACCTCTCTCGATGCCATCACATCAAACCACCTGTGAACACCAAGCAACATACACTATCGGCCTACTTCATAGACGGAAAGCTTGGTGAAGTAAGTTGTGCGACTTCTCTTCATTAACATTTTCTGTCACTAATCATGAAATTATTAATCTTTCTTTTAGGTACGTCCCCTCAATCGAGTGAACCTCAAAGACGCTTTGATCCGTCTAGTGGTCAATTGAGAACTTCCGATTTCTCTGGTCGATGCGAAAGAGTTTCAAGAACTCCTCACAATGCTTAACCCGAGTTCTGTGTCTATCCTTTCTAAACGCACCTGCGTCACCGATGGGATTCTCGCCAACTATCGAGCCATCCGGGAGGCCATCGCCAGACTCCTCTCGAGTGTCAGACACATCAGTGTCACTTGCGACGGATGGACTTCGCCGAGTAACGTTGTAGAACTCCTACGCTGTGGAGCGTAGGCAGAGCCTCGAGGGGAAGAAACAACCCAAGGGGGTAAACCGCCAAGAGCCGTAACTGAAACGCCGCTAAGCTGCCCTCAAAATTCAGTGAGACACTTCTCGCCAACCTTTCTACCACCAAAATAAACTTTCCAACCTTGATTATCCAATCTACAAGCTTTGTTCGGCTTTAAGAATCCCCGGAAAGGTCCTACGGTTCAAAAACAGATGTAAACAAGCTGTTTTTTACTACGTTCCCCAATGCAGTTCTCCAAAAAACTTTCCCGCAGCAAGTAAAAAAATAATAAAAACTTTAAAAATTTCCCCAAAACCTTATTTTTCAAGTTCTACTGATCCCGAAACTACCCTACACACCTTTCCCACCTTAAAAACCAGCAAGTTACGTGTGTAACTGCTAGAAAACCTACTTAACTATCTTAAGTAAGGTTTCTGACTTAATTAGTCAGAAACTGCAAAAAATAAAAAAAAATAAAAAAATCCAACTTTTGAAATTCCCACTATAAGGGTCTCAAAAAAATCACCGATAAGGGTTTCTGACACCCTTACAATCAAAATAGAAGGTAAGTCTTTTCCTAAAGACCTTTCTTTTTACTCACACTACACTACTGAGGCGATAAACTAAACAAAAAAGGCTTCTATCTTTTCCTGGATGATCCTTTCTAACTAGGAGTCCACTCGATAACGGTCAGAAAAAAAGAAAAAAGACTCTACTACACGCTCTCGATACGATAACTCGATTCCGAGATGATTCGATACCAAAAGATCTCGCACACAATCGCTCCAGTTCCTCCCTTTTATACCCCAACACTCGCTTCTTCTTCAGCCCTAATCAAACCTAGGTAAGCTCTTCCTTTTGTTTTTCTCATCTCTTTCTTCTAACCTGTTCCAATCGATAACTAATTGTTTCTTCTTTCTTCTTTAGTTCAATTTCGACGATTCCGATCGGAACGGACGTTTCCGAAACGAGCTGTGGCTTCCTCAGCCCTGCCTGGTCCACTTGTTACCACCCATCACCTCACTCCTTCTCTTTGGCTTCAAGATCGAAATCGATTATCAATTTCGACCGATTTAGGTAAGCCTATTCCTCTTTTGTCTTCTTTTAGCTTCAAACCCTTTCTAACCTTGCTTCACAGCAGCCTTCACACAAACCCTTCACAACAGCCTCTTCCACCCTCAGCTTCAAAAATCGAAATCGAAAATCGATTTCGACCGATTTAGGTAAGCCTGTTCCTTTCTGTCTTCTGTAGCTCCTTCCCTGCTGACTCCCTTTTTTTTCTTTTGTTTCATTTGACCCTCTTTTAGTTTAAACCGACCCGATCGATCGATTTCCTGATGTTAAAGGCTCAGCCAGCCCCTGTTCTTGTTTTCTCTTTGGTTTTTGTTTAGTTTAGTTTGATTTAGTTGTGTTAGTTGTTGTAAGGGTAAAAAAAACCCAAAAAATGCGAAATTGAAACTAAGCTGAGCTGAGAGGGTTCCATAAAAAAAGAAAACCATAAAATGAAAATAAAAAAATGCCCTATATAAAAGGTCTTCAAAAAGACTCGAGTCAATTTTCTTTCCACAACGTGGCAATGTTGGGGGTAACAGCTCACTGGATCTCTCATGATTTCGAAATGCATGGTGTCACTTTAGCTTTAAAGCCAATCGAGGGACCTCACACCGGATCTAACCTTGCTAGCCTTCTCACTCACATTCTGGACTCGTTCAACATAACAGATCAGCTTTACTGCATTACAGCTGACAACGCATCGAACAATACCACCATGGGTCAAGTTCTCTCTGCTAAGATACCCCACTTCAATTCTTCCGAGCATCTGCATGGCTGTGTTGCACATGTTGTTAACCTTGTGGCCAAAGCTGGGATGGCTGTATTCGATCGCAAGACCTCTCATCCGCCAGTGAATGCTCTCGATCCTCTTATACCTCAGCCCAACTCATCTGTGCCTCTTTTCATTGAACCAACGCCTCATTCCGATGTCACCAGTATCCTCACTCGAATTCGTGCGTTCCATAAGAAAATCAAGCATAGTCCCCAGCTGAAAGCGGCCCTAGACAACAATATCGCAGGCAATCAATCTTTGGAACGCAAGGTGGGATTAGTACATGAAGTCTCCACACGATGGTCTTCCACTCATGATTGCCTCAAACGATTCTACGAACTTCGTCGACCCATCCGTTATACATGCGAGGGTAATCCAGCACTTGAAGAATAGTCACTCACCGACTCTGAAATGGAACTTGTTGGTACTATTGTCAAATTTTTAGCCCCTCTAGCTACAACTATCAGTGAGATTGAGGGTTACCAGTACCCCACTTTCTCCCGAGTTATGCCTGATTATCAATGGTTGGTTGAACGCCTCGAAAAAGTAAGTGGTCTCTGTACATTTTCTAGTTCTTTAGACTATGAACTGACATACTTTATATTTCATATAAGCCTGGCATGACTCTGCTTGTAAGGAATTAAAGGTGTCCATCATGCCCATGATGAAGAAGATCGTACAATATCAAGAGGCGGCTCAGAAAAAAGCGGTGTACCTATGTGCTGCAATCTTAGATCCTTGTCTCAAACTCATGGCGGTCAAAGGCCCTACTCTTGAATCTTTAGGATGGGGACCTGAAGACTTGACTGAGTATTTTACTGAACAAGCCTCAAAATTTGTCCTCGCTCCCGACCCCGATATTGAAATTGTCGAAAATCAACCTTCTTTCAACCCCGATCGTCCTCTTAAGCGGCGCAAGACGGTTCCAGTTCAGCATGAAGTCACCGAGTACCTCACCGCCCCTCAAGAGGACAAGCGCTGCGATGTCCTTGGCTACTGGCGACTTGCTCAACGTCACTGGCCCATTCTCTCCCGTATGGCGCAGGCCATGCTTGCCGTGCCTGCCACTAGCAACGCCTGAAGCGTCCCGCCGCAAATAGCGGAAGGGGAGCGGCAGCGGGGCGGGTCGCCCCGCCCGCGCTTCAGGTATCCTGGTGTAGCGGGTTTTTTCGCCCCGCCTGCACTACACCCCCCATATTTTGGATGTAGGGGTGCGCAATTTAAGCGGGGCGGTATGACATCTTGCGCTGCGAGATGTCACATCTCATATGTAGCGGGTCAATACCCCAAAGGAAGTGTCGATATCTGGCATTTCCTTTCAGAAATCGCCAGATATCTGATATCAGAACACAAAGGAAGATATCATCCACGCCAAAAACCCTTGACTTCACGTTTACTTTTACCTCCACTTCAAAAACAAGACGCTCATCACCTGTTTTAGCAAGATCAAACTCTTCTACGTCTTCCAGTATCTTCTTTCGTGCCTCGACTGACGCAGGATTTATCCCACCTCATTATCATATCCGACTTATATCGTTCAATCATCTGGACATCACTATCTTAGCTCATCACGTAGGGGTTGGCCCTCTCAAATTTGGGGACATGGGTTGCTCCATGATGGTGACGAAAGTTATCAGCACGGATTGTATTTATATCGCAAGTGTCTCATTTCTCTCCGTCCCCTTCCTCAAATTTCATCGAACCGAAATTTCTACAGAATTTACTGATTCATTGATCTCATTTTATCATTTTTCTGCTTATCAACTCAATTATTATCGTATCCTTAGGACATCATGCTACCTTCTCCATCGTCCCTGTTGGCCCCTTTGCCGTCTAACCCTCCACCCACTACTGGTCCTACGCTCCGTCCTAGAACTCCTACACAACCTAGACCCGGGTTTATCGCACAGTCACCTGACCTCCGTGTAGCTACTCTTCGCCCATCTCCTATTCGTCATACGATCTCGTCTGACACCGAGGAGCCGAGTGTTTACGAGCTCAGTGGTGATCAGTCTGATACCACTGATGGTATTGGCAGCATTGGTTCTGTAGAAGTTGTTGGAGGACTCTTGCCAAAATCCCTCAAGAAGAAGAAAACGGCTCGCAAGTCAAAGGCGAAGGTTCACGTAGTCAAAAGCAGAGGGCGACCTCGTGGTTCGGGTGCTTCAGCGGGCTTATCTCGACACCCTCCCAAGAAATCGAAGAAAGGTCAAAACCCCTGGGGTACGCCGAGCTCAACTTGAACGAGTCTCCAAGTTATTGGAGTTCTACTTTCCCCCGACTCATGTCAAAGGCGAGGTAAGTGTAGCTTGTTTCATGTTTCTAGTATGTATATTGATTCACTAACCTTGCTCTATCTATGTTGATGTTTGAAGACAGGAGACGACCCCCGAAGCTTCAAGTGCAGCTGGTGTAAGGGCACGTTTGTTTGCGGAGCTCGTAGTCATTACAACTTATACGCTCATCGGGATGGGGCCAAAGGTCGAGCAGTGTGTCCCCGACGAGCTCGTGCGATTCAATCTGGAGTCAAGTTGCCCATGACTTGGGCTCAAGAACAAGCCGAGAACGATCTTGCCTTGAACCACGTCAATGGACAACGAACTCTTGATGCTTTTCTCTCCGAACCGACCTTCAGCGTAGACCTCTGCAACATTGTCCTTGTTATATGGATCCTATGGCACGCCCTTCCCTTCAATCGTTTCTATGACTGTCCTCTTCGTGCCGCCTTCAAGTTGGCCAATTGGCGAGCCGAATTAAGGTCCCCAACTTGGGCTGCTGGAATCGCGAAGGAGCTGTATATGAATTTGAGCTTGGCTGTGATTGATATGGTATCGGTAAGTCTTCATTGCCTTTACACATTCAATTTGTTGAAATAAATTCTGACATGTTCATTGCCTATGTTTTAGAATAACACGGGAAAGTTCTCCCTGGTCCATGATGTGTGGACTACGAAGGGGAATCGATATGCGTTTATCGGAGTATCGGCCAACTTCATCGACAACAACTGGAAGTACCGATCAATTCTCTCACCCTCAAGTTAGTGGCATGGAACAAGATGGGGTTTTTACTTGCTAGACCGGTGGCTCGCTACCTGATTTCACACAAGCTTCATACTAAGATGAGTTTTTTTTTTCGAACTATCATCTATACATTACAAAGAACTAATTTGATGTTGAACCCTTACATGCTAGCTCAAACAACGGACTCAGGGTCCAACAACAACACGATGGCTCTAGAGATGGAAGAGATGTTCATGCAGTCGGATGAGAAGGTTAAGTGGGACTCGAGCAAGAACCACGTCCGATGCTATGCTCATAAGCTCGGACTGGTCGTCAAGCATGGCTTGAACTCGATTGGTTTGGCAGCTGGCCATATCAAGCCAACTACTCCACCCAACACTTCAATTCCAGTCCCATCGATTGTCCTCAATGATGATTTAACTGAGGTTGTTGGCGACTCAGATGTCTCAGACGACGAGACCTTCGCCCCGCGTTCATCACGTCCTGGTGATGAGACAGCCTCCGATTCAGAAGACGGCCCAGGTTATGATTATGTACCTTCTCAAGCGTGTTTGGTGGTTCAGGGAGCTATGAAGGTAAGTCATACAATTTTCTACTTTGTTACTTCAAACTTTTGTATTGTTGAATGTTCAGTTGAGTATGCTGACTGAATCCTCAACCTACCCATTCAGCTCAAGGACATAAATGCCCTCCTAACCCGAAGCAATGCTCGACGTGGGGAATTCCAAGCTCGGGCGGCTCAGATGGGGTACGAAGGTCCTGCCCCAATTGCTGGATGGGGCGTGCGCTGGAACATTGACTTAGCAATGTTTTCGAACTTGGTTTCAGCTCGAGATGTAAGTCTGGTCTTTCTTGTGTTTCATCTATATATCACATCAACTTACCATTTCTCTCTGTAGGTTATCGATTCAATCCTCATCGCCGATCGAAAGACTAGGTATTATCAAGGGGCGATGATGACGATGGAGGAATGGGATGCAGTGGAGGAACTCTGCAGTGTTTTGAAAGTAAGTTACCATGTTCCTTTATGCGAATTTCTTCTAAGATCATCACACTCACAACTTTTCATGTTATTCTCAGGTCTTCCACTTCTCCACCAAACGAATGGAGGGTGACTTCGCATCGGGTTCTGTACTCCTGGCTGAGTACCTGCGGGTGACTGAAATGCTCAAGCAAATACGTGGTACCTCCAACTTCCCCAGTTTTATCCAGATGATCAATACGATGCTCGCCAAACTTGCTGTCTATCAAGAAGAAGCAGTATCTTCCGACGTGATTGTACTGGCTACAATCCTGAATCCAAAGTATTGGCTCCGCTTTTTTGACCTCCACTATCCTGAAGCACATGGGAGGGCTAGTGACCTTATCGAAAAAACATTTCAAGCAGCATTGGCTGCTTGGCCAGTTACACCTGCTTCGACCCCACCTTCCAATCCAACAACCACCAGTAACCCATTTGATCACTTTGATATCTTCACCTCGTCCGCCACTTTTCAATCTGCCGATACAATCCGATCGTCGGAGCTTGAGATCTATCTCCAAGGCACTGTTCCAATTACTCCAGGACAATCCAAACTAACTTGGTGGGAGGTACAATCTATTTCTTTAATTTTAATATCACTAAGTAATATTGATGGAACATCTCATTATCATAGGAAAACTCTGGTCAATTCTGTGTCCTGGCTGAAATGGCCCGAGATTATCTTTCAATCTCAGCTACCTCATGCTGCGTTGAACGGACATTCTCTTCTGCAGCCAACATTGCCGTACCTGCACGTGGGGCTTTAAAACCCAGGACTATCCAACAAGCAGTAGGATGCAGACAATGGCTCCATGCGCGCATTCCTGTGTTGGGGCGATTTGCAGATGCAATTACTTATGTGATCTCCTTTGCAGCCAATATGAACAAGAAAAAACCGGTTGATTAGGCTCTTACTTACATTCTTAAACTCTTTATATCTCTTATCTTATAGTTTTTTCTCTTTTTTAATTTTTCTTTTTATGACTGCTCAGCTAATTGTTGGTTGTGTTCGAGTTACCCTGGGTAACTCGTTTGTTTCTTTCCTGCTTTCTTTGATTATGTATCTTCTACACACGTGTTAAGTTTTTTTTCCTCTATCTCTGTTTACTTATGTGTCCGTATCGTCACTCCTTTAATATATTTCCTTAGTTTTGTTTCTCTCTCAGGCAAAAAACATGGCTGCCTGTTTTTTTCCGGCTTGGTTATTTTTTTTATACTTTGTTATCGCTCTTTGTGTATCTATTTGTTTCAATGTGCATATTTAATAAAAAAAAAAATTGTGAATAGTATCACACGCTGCCCGCTCTGAGGACGGGAAATTTTTCGCGGCGGAGCGCAAGCGGGTCTTAGTGCCGCTGTGCTACCTTGGGGCTGTAGCGGGTCAGACCCTTAAGCGGAGCGAGAGCGAGTTTAACCAGTAGCGGGTTTATGTGCCGTTACAAAAATTCGGCGAAAAAGCGGATCGAAGGGGAGCGGTTCAGATGTTGCCACTAGTGCTCCGTCAGAGAGCACTTTCTCTAATGCTTTGAGGGTCATGAGCGACCACCGTGCTTCTTTCACTCCTCAAAACCTCAAAGCGCAAGTCTGTCTTAAGAGCTGGGTCCCAAAGTTAAAAAAAATGAGACTAACTTGTGATCTTTGCTTTCTAAATGGAACGTTCCTCATAAACTTAAATTTGATACTATGCTTAATGTTAGATTACTATACATGAATAATCAATTTGTTTGTTGATCAAAGCCTCTAGGCCTTCCTTTAATTTCTTATACATGTAGAATTGCAATACAAGCCAAAAACTCCCTTGTCCAGACCCATTTTGCCCTTTGATTTGAGCCGTAGCCCTGCCTAGCCCCAAGCCACAACATTCAGGGCCTGCCCTGGTTGGCCCGATCAAGATTTTGAACCAATCGGGTTTATCCGGGGCCGGGCAAAGTCCCGGGGCCGGCCCTGAAGCTTCGTGGCCGGGTCACAGCCCTGGTAGGAATTGTGAGGTGATCTGTGGGAATGTATTGGAATGTATCGGTAGGTGATGGAAAGTTTGAAATGGAGAAGGACAAAGGAACAGAGGAGAGAGAGGGGACCATTAGCATGGAACCCGACAGGTCTACGGGCCGGCCCGGGCTTACAAATAATCAGCAGCCCTTTTAGTTGTTTCCAATGAGGCAACAAAGCTTCTATTGCACTATTGGTCAAAATGGGGCTCAAAAAAGGTCAAAGAGGGGCTGCGTTGTGGGAAGATGCCCACGTAAGGAGCCCCTGAGTCCGAATCACCAAAATTTTGGCTGGGTGCGCTCGGGTTGTGTCAGGTACCTCGGGTAATGCCCCAAAATAAGAGGGCTCCGGGTATTTGCCAAAGGGGCGCTAAATAGTGGGGTCCACTAAAAATTGATATTTTCAAGTTCTTCCAATTTCCATCATTTTAAACAAAACAGGATGGCTCTGAGTTCAAACCAGGGCATTGGCTTGAACAAATGGTGAATGATTTGGTGGATGATACTTGTTTACCAAGTGCTCAGTTCTGAGCCCACTGTCAATATTGAGCAAAAAAACCATCACTTAACCAGATGTTGAATGATGTTATCATTCACAAGTTCCTTTCATCACAATTTTTTTGCAAAGGTTCAAAGGCAGCTTCAGAAGGCGGTCCACAGGCCATGCGCAGACCATTCTCAGACTATTTCCTAGGAAACAGACCCAGGGATTCCATTTGCATGGTGCCAAGACAACCCGGAAGCTGAATCTGGACCCGACCCTTTGAGGCAGACATCCTTGGCGTCCTTGAGGCCAAATCAAAAGTGGTGGTCAGTAGGCTGCTCTGTTCAGGCCGTAGCCTGGTCCCAAGGCTAAAAACCAACCTGACCATTCTATGCCCAAGTCAGACCATTCTCTGACACAGAACCCTCTCGTGGTGTACATCTTTGAATGAATTAAGAACCAAACTGAGAAAATTTCTGAATGATTTAAAATTTCATTCAGCTGGATTACTTAATTAAGATTATGTAGCTTTTATTGGTTTAGAAATGGGATTGAGATGAAGAATTGAATGGAGTATGATTCAAATTGCAAGTATATCCAATTAAAAAGCCAATTGAAGTTTGAAGTTAAAGTTTGAAGTTTTGAAGTTGAGGTTTTGAAGAGAAGTGACCATACCTGTTGAGATGTATCACTGGAAGGACAATCCAAAGTGTATAACAAGTACAAGTTAGTCAGTTATCAGATGCACACCTCTTCCATCAATTTGAGTCTCACATTTCTTTAGTGGGACTGTTTTTTGTATGTTAATAATTTTTTGTTTTCATTATCTCATATAGTTAACTACTGAATTTCTTGCTACCTAATCATGATACCATAAGTTATGAAACTTGAATGTCTCTAAGTCTCATCATGTGTGGGGGGGCGACAGACAGCTGGTGTTCTGACAGGGTAGGCTCTCTGTGCGGCAGGGTGCAGGGGCAGGCAGAAGGATAGAAAATTTTGAAAGAATTCCGAGACTCTTTTGACCTTGCTTGCAGTTGATGTTGTATGTTGAGGTGAGTGAGTCAGAGAAATTTTCAATAAAAGATGGATTATATTTTACGTGCGAGAATTTTGGTTCCGTTGGGGGAAAACCTTTCTCCTCGGTACCCTGCTTGGCGGTGTCAATGTAAGTTGACAACCATATCACAATAAAGCTGTAAACGTTTGTCAAAACAAAAGATGAAAGAATGACAAAAGGTAAAACAGACGAAACAAACTCCGGGATTTGACTAGATGGCTGTCTTGTTTAGGTGTGCTATATAGTCCTTTTCTTTAACTTGTTTAGTTAGTGCAGTATGCAATAAAGCAATTAAGCACTCATGAAGTCATCTCACGTGCAGCTGTGTGTATGCTGCTTTACGTGAATTGGGTGTTTGTTTCCCAAATATCGAAGGTTTAAACAAACGCGTAAAACGACCTTGAGTCCTTCATCACAAAAGCCAAAGATAGAACCAGGAATCGGATTTTCTGTTTGGGTATCATACATACATACATACCTTTACCAACTTGCAATGTACCTCTTTGTTTTGTCAAGGATGAAAGTAAGTTGAGTGCTTGAATGAGTTTTGAATTCTTGGTTGGATTAAACCTTAAAGATGACATGAACAAGGGGATTTTTCTTTTATTCTTTCCATTTTTCTTCCCTCAAATTTGGAACATTGCGGTTTATCCCAAACATTGCGCTTCATTTTCTCTTGTTTTATCGAATTTGATCAAGGTGCTTGCACTTTACATATATATGGAAGAAAGTTGTCGTTTGAATTCATGATTCTTGATGTATGTTGGCTCTTGGTGTCCCCTCAGCATAGTTGCTAGAAAGCATTTCAGAAGGGGAAGAAACCTCCATGGAAGTGAGATGATTGGATTGGCAAGCAACCACATCTGAAAAAAGCACTGGTCAATCAGACCCACAGCAAAGAAATTTGATCGGAAGTCAGCTCGTCGAGGGGATCAAGATGCGGATATCCATGATCATCAAACTCACAAACCATCATGCATCAGAGCGAATCGCGCGGGGTTGACTTTGACCCGATCTGAAGAGTTGCTTTGAAAGCAAGATCTCGCTACTTTTTTACAATTCAAGCTGCGAATCGAGACTGACACCGAAGCAGGCTGAAGCTGTTTCAAGCAGGACTTCCGACTCAACTCCATTGTATGTATTTACATTGTACTTAATTAATTAAGAGTTGTTTACCTTGTGTCACGCTTGAAGTTTGAAGGGATGGCCTCAGCTTGTGTGATCATGGGCAGGTTAATACAAAGGAGAAGGAAAACCACTAAGAAGAAAACATTTGGACTGACCTGCAGGTCAAGAATGAAATTCAGATGGATGATTACTAATTGAGATTTTAAAAAGTAAACGATTCGATGCCCATAACCGTCCTCACAGCCCAACCAATCAAAAACCAGTTGATAATCAAGATTTACCATAAAAGTTGAGAGTCAGATCTGAATCAACCCACTTCTTCAGCACTTCCTATTTTATTCCCATTTCTCAAGACAACCAACAACTACTTAACCCATCTGCTCGTACCTTCTTCAATTATAACCAATCATCATGAATGATCTCACCACCAAACGCGATTCTTCAGATGAAAAGAAAACAACAATAACTGATGTCAAGACTCATCATCATCGACTTCAATGGTCTGGTATCACTTATCAGATTCCACTTCCCAAACAACCTCGCAAATCTAAAAACAAAGCTGATATCGAATCTGGTAAAGACACAAAACCTACCAGCAGAACCATTCTTGATGGTTTAAATGGTCACGTAGACTCTGGTGGTAAGTTACACATACCAATTTTACCCTCATCAAGACCCCAAGATTGATTCTCTTTGTAATTTGTAGAGATCGTCGCGATTTTGGGTGCATCCGTAAATATTTAACTCTTTATGCAGTAAACTTCAGAGCTGTATTGCTCAACTCAATTCAATTGAATCCTGAAGCACCATCTAAATTCTCTTCGATCGTATGTAGGGTGCTGGAAAGACAACCCTCTTGAACATTCTTTCTTCTCGTCTCGACTCGACTGGCACATTGAGTGGAGAAGTCACTTTTAATGGCGCGGACCGACGAGCTGTTAATTGGAAACGAACTCTAGGGTAATTAACTCTCTTTCTCTATACACGGCTTGAAATCTTTCGTTGATCAACGTAATTCTTCACCCTCATCAACGCAGGTTTGTAGAGCAAGATGATTTGCTATATGGTCAATTGACTGTCACGGAGACGCGTGAGTCATTGGAAATGCAATCCTTACCGCGGTTTCAAACTGACCACTGAATTCGGTTCGAACAGTTGATTATTCAGCCCAATTAAGACTTCCAACGACCAATTATACCCTTGCCCAAAAGCGAGCTCGAGTAGCGGAGACGATCGAAATTTTACGACTGGAAAAATGCGCAGGGGCAAGGATTGGAGATGGAGAAACCAGAGGGGTTAGTGGCGGTGAAAGAAAGAGAGTTGCAATTGGTCAAGAACTCGTTAGTGATGTTAGGGTGTTAATGTTAGATGAGCCAACGTAAGTATAGCGTGTATTTGCGCGTCTTATAATCCGATTCTTTCCAGAATTGACGATACTTCTGCTGGGGATGGTACATCATACCTTCAGTTCCGGTTTGGACAGTTTCTCCGCACTCAACCTGATTCAAAACTTGCGAGAAATCGCCAAAAAGAGAGATGTGGTCTGTCTTATGACAATCCATCAACCCTCGGTAAGTATCCGATCTCGAATTTCTCATTCACAAACAAACCCCATAACAAAAGCTGATCTCATACCATCGAAACAGTGGGAAATCTTTTCAAATTTTACCAGAGTCATCTTGATGACCCGAGGAAAGGTATTCTACGAAGGTCCACCATCAGACGCCTTGGATTACTTTAGTAACACTGTTGGATTGACGGTCCCGCGTGATGTTAACCCATCTGGTGAGACATCTTAATTCTCAATTCGCTTAAACTCGTACTAAAACAATTTACTCATTTTCTCTTCCTTTCCACAGATTGGTTTTTGACAATCTCTGAGAATTTTGAAAAAAGTGAATTGGGTGAAGAGAGAGTGGAAAAGTTAATTTCTACTTGGCAAAGGTTCAGTGAAGCAAATTTAATGAAACTATCACCTACTTATCCTCCTACGCTTGAGAAAGAACAATGGGCAGTCAGTTGGTTTCATGAACTTGCTTTACTCACTCGTCGTAATTATCAACAAATTGTAAGGTTCATTTCCTGTTCTATTACAATTCATTGCGTTTATTGAGTTGTTCTCTTGACTTTCAATCTCTTAGGCCAGAAATCCTAAAATCTGGATTGGTTCATTTGCTCAAAATATTGTTCTGCTAATCCTTATTGGTATGTGTTCCTTCAATCGAGTCTAAAATCTATCTCCATCTAGAATTTAGCTTGAGTTTGCTCTGATACCTTCACAACCCTTAACCTCACAGGTTTCGCATTCTTTCGAAGGGATCTAGACCAAGGCGGAGTCATCAGTAGACTTGGAGTCTTGTTCTTTATTCCCATCAACAATTCATTTAGTGCAGTCTTTCCAATCTTAACTGTCTTTCCATCAAAGAGAGCCATGAGTATTCGAGAAAGAGCCGCTGGAATGTATCGATGTAGTAGTTTTTATCTTTCCAATGTGATTGTTGAAATTCCAAGTCAAGTAGCTCAACGTGCTTTGTTCATCATTGTTGTATATTGGATGTAAGTCTTTCATAAATCTCCGGCTGTGATCCTTCTTTTCATCAGAAAATCAAATGCGATTTGACTGTTACTAACAGTTGGGCTGTTCTTATCGTTTAGGATTGGATTGAAGGGAGAAGCTGGAGCATTCTTTATTTGGTTACTTGTTAACTTTGTACAACTTTTATCGGCGGTTGGATTAGGGTTTTTGATTGGAGCTGGAGCTACTAATGTACAAGCTGCTAATGCGATAGCACCATTGTAGGTTTTCTTTCTCATCTACGTCTTCAGTTTTTATTCCATTGTAGCAGGATCTTCTTGGTTTCTTTGGAAAACTCGATCAATTGATGAACCTATTTTTTATATTTCAACAGGGCTAATGTCATCTTCCTTTTATTTGGAGGGTAAGAAGAGTTTCGGTTTCATATATACGTTTCTTATGTTTTACTGACCATGTTTCATTACATTTGCAAATAATAGAAATCTTTTACCTTTGAATGATATTCCAAAGTACTTCATTTGGTTACATTGGATGTCACCTATAACTTATGCATTCCAAGCTTTAAGTTTGAATGAGTTTAGTGGATTAAATTTCAGTTGTCCAACTGATGCACAATCTTCTACTCAATGTTATCGTACAGTTTAGTCCAGTTTCTTCTTCGTTCTTACTTTTTCTTGCTTTGAGATTGACTGTTAATTTTTGGGTGTGTTTTTTCATCTCAAAAAAGGGTCAAGATGTTTTAAGACAATATGCTTTACAAAGGTTTTCAGTTTGGGAAAACGTTGGGTTCTTGTGTTTGATTTCATTTGTGTTTGGTTTGTTAGGGTTCATTTTCTTAAGGTTCTTAGGTAGACCTAGTCGTAGATTTACTTGAGTTTTTTAAAAACTGTAACGATCGGTTTCTGGGAAGTTTTCTTTGAGATGATTTTTCTGTTTTTCTTTTATTGGTCTTTATGTTAGGGTTCCTTTTTGCTTGTGGTTTTGAAAAAATTTGTAGCAATGATATCTCTATTAATTTGATTTTGATTTTGATTGGTACTTGTATTTTATAGATTTGATGTTTTTTTTGATTGGTTTACTTGTTTTCAGTTTTGTTCTTCAGGTTGACATGATTTCTTACTATGGACTTTATTATTATTTTTGTTTTACACTTTTGAGATCCTTGAGTACAGGATGTTTTGAGGAGTTGAAAAACCATACCCATGGTTGTGATACTTTCTTTCTCTGTCTACATTGTCCCACATCATTTTTGTGAAGGGATAACTCCCTGGTTGGTTTTGTCAAAGTACCCATTTGTAGACAGCGGTTCTGGTCTTCACATCTGGTGTGTGTATTGAAGAAGTGCAGTTACAAAAAGTATGACTTCTTTTTAGATAGAATTTTGAGGGAATTTGCATGTTTGGGGTTGGCACTCACCAATCATTTTCACAGCTTTCCTGAGGATTGAATGGAACAGAAATTGGGACTTGTTGGATTTTTTTCAGTCTTGGAAGTTGGTGACCTACTTATTTAGAAGTGACAAATATACCAATATATTTTGACTACACATGATATGTACATCTGGTTGACCTAGGCCACATTCCTTTTGTTATCCTGTAGCTTTGATTTACAGTAGAATTATGACTGTTTTCTATATAAAAAGCTAAATAAATAAAGTAAATTTCAAGATATTTGTGATAGAATTATACATCTGAAATCTGAAGATAAGAAAAGCTACTTTTTTCCCTGTGCTTTGTTATTCATTTTGATGTTTTGAAAATAGCATAGTAAACTTACTTGTATCTTTAAGGGTACTCAAAGTCCTATGTGGCGCCACATATCTGGCGTCACATACTTTTCAAATTTCATTTTTGACACGGAAATTACCATAACGAGTTGAAGAAAAGGACATATTGAATTATATTTGGCAAATTGTAATGTAAGTGTAGGTCATTTTGCCTGTCAAAAACAAAATTTGAAAGTATGTGGTGCCACATATGTAGCACCACATACTTGCTTTGAGTACCCTTTTTCTTGGAAATTTGAAATTATGTCATGTACACCACCGGGCAACTTTGAACTGGGACCACGTGAAATGTAAGTTGGGTATGACCACACCAAGTGGTTGTGTAGAACAGGTGACAGTAGTGTGAACCCCAGATATGTGGCCCCCACCCCAGCTCGTCACCCGTTCTACGTGTGGGCTTGCTGCTCACAGCAAGCCCGCGTTATGCTGATGTGATGCACCAGCCTATCAGTGGCTGAGCCAATGCGTGTGAGCGTGGCCTGTCAGCCAGCTGCTCAGCGCCTACACAAAAACATGAGTTAGATGGTCTGGGAGCGATGTGCCAGTCAGGTGCTCAGCACACAAATGAGCTTGGAAACCGCTCATCCAAGCTCACATTGGCTGATGAAAATGTGGCTATCTGTTTCTTACTCTATCAAAAAATTGGCCCGACCAATGATTCCTGGATATCTTTCGGTTTTGTTGTTGTACAATATCATGTTTCACAAGATCAGTTCTTTTCTTGTGTCTTCAGATCCCTCAAGACAGTTCCATACTTAGAATGGTTTCAATTATTATTTTATAGCTCCATGAACAAATGTAATAAATGCTAATTACATTGAGATGGTATTTGACGATCCTAATCATAACTTTCCATCAAATTTCCATAAAATACTATATTGAGGCCATGTCTTGTAATATCAAAAAAATTCAAACTTTCAAAAGATAACAATGAGAAGAAAGCAAAATTAGATGAACTTGAAAAACAGTTAGACCAATTTGTCACTGTCAGTCAATCAGAATGTTTCTTCTTCATCTCACGGTAAAATATTGTGGCTAAAGATTGATTTGGTTTATTTATTTTGTCATCTATTCATTCTACTAAAGAAGTTCAAGCAAAGATGGCAGCACAAGCTTGAATACTGATCTCAGTGGTTCTTTCAGCCTCTTCTCTCCCACAATTTACATGAGTATTTTGTGGACCAATGCATGTAAGCAGGATGAACTCACGGGTTTAAAATCATTGCATCATATACGGCCCATAGATTATCCAAGATGAATTGTACAAACATCGGTCTAAGACCTGGTCTTCCATTCAATTGTTTCTTTGTTAAGACCATTTTGTACCTTCTGATCAAAGAAATAATCACCCCATAAGCAGCGTTGTAATTTATCTTCTTCAATCTCCAATTCCTTTGACCAAAGATGAGAAAATTTAGAAATCGTGAATGACCAATTGTCAATCGCTAACAAAAACAAAACATCACCTTTTGTAGGATTGAAATATAAATCGGTATCATCAGTTTCTTGAAATTCTTCTAGTTTAATTAAATTTGGATCATCATTTTGTTTTTCTTGTGCTTTTTGCCATTTTCAATCTTGTTCCATTCTTTGGGTCACAAAAGATGAACCCATGACAGCATCAACTTGTTCGACTAATTGTACAAGGTAATGATAAGCTTCTGTTGGTGTGAGACGTAGTTCAGTGATAAGACGATCCATTCTGTTGATCACAAGGATAGGCTTGAGTTGTTCATTCCATCCCTGTCGTAGAAAATTGATAGTCTGAAAATAAATCGTAGCTTAGCTTCAGGACCACAGAGTAGATCCACAAACCAAGAAGAATGATTGATCACATCAAGAACAGCCCTGGCAGCCGAATGCAAAACTTTTGGAGCAGGTTGTGCAGATGTCACAGCCTGGTGTTATTTTCAAAACAGGGCTTTACATACATACATATGCAGTTTGATATCAAGTGTGACGTCACAGGTAGATGTCACAGTTCTTGCCTCCCTGGTCCCCTTTTGAATTCCGCTCTTTCAAAGTTAGCGTTCACTGTCATAACATTGGTCATCCTGGAGCCGATCAGTCATTCAAGTTTCATCCATAGTCATTCTGATTGTTCAAATCGAAGTCCTTTCATCAATTGTTCTAATTCTCTTTGTAAGTCTTTCCTCCCTGGATCCTTCAAATCAGCCATGTTCGCATTGTCCATATCAAAGTCCTTCGGCTGATTGCTCGCTCCATATGTAAGTCATGCTTTGTCTTTCAGCTTCATTCTTCTCTGCCTGATTCACACCATCCTACAGGTTGATGCCATTCTGATCATTATTTTCGTTTTCATTGTTCATATTGAAATCTTGAGGTCGATCATCCTGAGTCAAAGATTTTTCAAATGTTTCCCTGTTCGTTTTTGCATTCATTGAGTACATCATTGGTCTCTTCTTTATCTTCTCATCGTTCTGATAGCCCCTGACAGCCCCATACACTTGGATCAATCTCCTAGTTTGTAAGTCTTTCATCATCTCAATCTTTTCTTCAAGTTCTGACTCTCATTGGTCATAAATCCATTGGTTGATTGCTTGATAAACATTTCTTACAGAAACAACCAATGAAAACAAGCTATTAACTACACCAAATCATCAAACATATCCATCAAAGACTAATTTTTGAAGATCATTTTCTCGTCTTTTTTCTTGTCTTTTTTTCTCATTTGTTTTTCAATATAATCTCCCTTGATTGTGTAATTACCATTTGCAGTTTTTGTCAATGCAATAGATAGATCAGTTGTTATTTTCAATTTCATTCCGTGAGCAATGATCAAAACATCCCAACATGATCTGCGGGTGCTGCTATCAGCCATCATGAGGCTGGAAGAGCACTGGGATGAGCCACCACTCACCAGCTAAATCCAATTTGCTTGCACTACAGGAGTGCGAGCTATCTCACCTGGTTGACACAAAGTCTGACTCACACTCCTGACAATGTGAGTCATCTCATCTGTTCATCGAGTGAGCCATCTCAGCATGTTATGATATGAGATGACTCACTGACTCACCCAATGAGCGGGTGAGCCACCATCTTGTAGCCACATGATCAGATTGAGTGAAGCCCACACTGGCTGGAACGTGTAGCTCACATTGGGTACGACGATGCAGACAGTATGTGTTTTATTGGCAGAGTCAAAATTCGCGTGAGTGTCACGTGCCATCAGCCCCGTGGTGTAAGTGTGAATGAATTGAATTTTATTTCTTGGTCAATTTGGAATCTGAGTTTTTATCAATCTCATCTATGTATGTACATAAGATGTTGTCCTTGGATTCCCCTCACATGAACTGGATTGTGTTTCTCAGGTATATTCACTCCTCAGACATCTTTCCCTTCTTGGTATTCAACATCAAGATGAATGTTATGACATCAACACCAAGGTTAATCATGAATTATTGCATTTGGACTGGAGCTCTCTGCTTGAAATCTTCACCAAAGTAGTACAATCTGCCCAGTCTGATGTGATTGAATGTATTTCATGGCGCTACGGCGAGAAAAATTTGGCTTGCCGGTTCAGCCAACAAAGCACAAAAGCTTTGAGTGGTGTGATATGAAAAATACGACATAGAGATGAATTTATGTTAGAGAAATCCTTTGCATCCAGCGCTCAAGCACACCAGTGTAAGAGGATGGTAGATTTGTTGCAGACTGGGAATTCTTGCCCTGTGGATAAAAAATTTAAAACCGAGCTCCATAAGGATGTACTAAAACTATGACCCCTCATGGATTAGCATTTCTTATCATTTCATCGTCGAAGTGACACTAGCAGAACTAGCAGAAATAGCAGAAATAGCAGAAATCCTACTCTACTTCTCATACGTCGTTCTGGTCTGGAGGGAAAGGATTATTCTCATTGTATAGCTCGCAATCAGAATATACAGTGTCCAGAAAAAATCTGATTTGATCACTTTAACTCTACAACTAGAGAGCATGAGTGATAAAATCGGATCCTCGTACATACCCTGTAGGTGGGACTATCCGTAACGTCAGCAGTTTGATTGTGAAGATTTGCC